GTGTTTATGTACTCAAAATCACCCCTCTTTTCCTTCTGACTCCATTTCTCAGGGCTTGAGGTGAGGTGAATTTCATGGTGGAAGAGTATGGTAGAGGGAAGCAGCTCACAGGATCATGAAGCAGAGAGACATCTCCATTTGCCAAATACAAAAATATATCCCAAAGCCAGGTCCTCAATGCCCACCTCCTCCAACCACACCTTATCCACCATCAGTTACCAGTTAGTAATCCCTGTCACGGGATTAATTCACTGATTGGGTTAAAACTCGTACAACCTTTTTTAAAAAAAATCAATTAAAAAAAGAAAAGAAAGAAAGGACTCTTACAACCTAATCATTTCTCCTTTGAGCCATCTTGCATTGTCTCACACGTGAGGTTTTGGGGGACACCTCACATCCAGACTATACATTTTGCCCTTACAATGCAAGGGCATCTTACAATGCAAAATACATTCTGTCTATTTCTAGGAGTCCCCATAGTCTCAACAGTTCTAAGATTGCCCAAAAATTCAAGTCCAAAGTCTACTCTGAGTCTCAGGGCAAGCTTGCATCATGAGTTCTTGTAAAAAAAGCGATTTACAAGTGTTCAATATATAAAGGTACAGAGTAAACATTTCCATCACAAAAATGGGGGCATGGAAAGAAGGAATGGGACCAAAGCAGAGTCTGAAATCTAGCTGGGCAAATAAGTCCTGCAGTTCTGTTTCCAGTATCTGGGGCACAAGGCGTGGTAATGTTCTATTCAAAGGGCTTATGTAGCTCCACCCCTGGGGCCTTGTTTGTTACAGCTCAGGTGGACTTTGTGTTGGCTTGTTTCTGTTCGATTCTTACAGTTTTTCTAGGATGATGTCCCATGTTGGCATTTCTTAATCTCAGGGGTCTTTACTGCAGCTTTGGCTTTCTCCTCACATCTCCATGCTTTGCCCTCTCTGGGGCTGTGCACAGGGACTCCAACCCTGGGGCACTCTGCCTGGCTTCTTAGGCCTTCCTTTGAAATCTCAGTGGAAGCCTCCATGACGCCCTCTCTCTACCATCCTGCAATCCTGTAGAACCAGCACCACATGGTTGACACCCAGGTCTGCTGCCATTTTAAGTAGTAGCCAGGCCTCCAGGGACCCTGGATGCAGCAGCCTCTGAGTGCCTGAGGGGCTGAATGTGTTGAAAAACTTCCTAGGCCCCCTTGTGTAAGAAGGCTTTCAACTGGGCTCTTCTCAAGAGAATTTTTACTTTTAATTCCTTGAGTCTGGGATGAATATGATCTTGCCAATTCCTGAGATGCCCTCAAGTCATCTTTCTTACAGTCTGTGGGCAAAGTCTTTGGCATTTCTTTAGTGGCATTAATGTCTTTAACAACTGCAACTTTCTTAGACCCCCATTTTCAAGTCGCTTTCTGCTCCTGATTATTACAATAAATTGGGCTAAAAGTGGCCAGCAGTGTCCATGCCACCACCTGAATGCTCTGCTGTCTAGAAACAGATAACTTCTCCACCAGAACATAATACAAATGGCCTCTAATCCACTTACTGATAGTGTCCTCCTTTTCCTCTAAACTCTATTGAGTCCTGTCTTCACCATATGGTCCTATTGACATTTTGGTCTTCTGAGCTCCCTCCAGAATCAGCCATTAAGCTCCATTTACAACAACCTAAAACGTTTCCAGCTTGCACTGCTACATCTCAAAATTCCTCTCACCACTTCCAAAAAGCTCCAAATGTTTCTGAACCACATGGTCAGGTTAGTCACAGGAATAACCCGAATTCTCAGTACCCCATTTCTGTTTTAGTCAGCTTTTTTGCTGCTGTGACTTTACAGACCCATCCAGAGTAATTGTAGAGGAGGAACAGTTTATTTGAGGGCCCACAGTTTCAGTGGTCTCCGTCCATAGGCAAGCCAGCTCCATTCTTCAGGGTTCCAGGTGAGGCAGGAACAACATGGTGGAAGAATATTGGGGGGGGGGGAGTGGCTCACATGATGATCAGGAAGGAGAGAGAGAGAGACCACTTGCCAAATACGCTTAGATACCCCGGAGTCATGCCCCCAATGCCCACCTCTTCCAACCACACCCTACCCACCTTCAGTTACCACTCTGTTAATCCCTATCAGGGGATTAATTCACTGATTGGGTCGACTCTGGCAAGCCAGTCATTTCTCCCGAACCTTTTTACACTGACTTACATGTGAGCTTTTGGAAGATACCTTACATCCAAACCATAATGTGGCCACATGTGGCCAGCAGCTGTTGGCTGGAGTGGGTCTAAATTCTCTGTGCAGAATTCGGTGTTCTAAAATGGTGACTTTGCATGGGGTGTGGGGCTTTTCCGTGGAGTTCCCATTTCTTCTCATTAGTTGTTTGTTAGTTTTCACCATCCGAGTGTTGTGCCTCTAGCTAGATTGGGGCACTCTGGAAACGTAAGCATCATTGGCTGCTGACTCTTGTTTATATGCAGGATGCACATCATGTTGATGTGGGGTTGAGATCCAGGCTTCAGCTTTCAGCTCTGCCATTAACATCTTAGGAAAGTCATTTCCCTGTCTGACCTAGAGTTCCTCATGTGTCGAATGTAGGAGTTTGGCATCTGGACAGCACAGTTGCAGGTGACTAAGAGGAAGATCAGGTCTAAAGTTTAAGAAGGGATCTGTCTTAGCTGTGTATCATCACTGTAGGATTTTCATAACACTAGGAGTACATGTTGAAAGCAGCTTAGAGCTTGAGTGGCTATTAGGGAGCTCTAGGCAGGAAGTGTCCATGAGCACTGAGCCCTGAGGGTGGGGACTTAGGTTGGGAAGTACAGGGAGCTGGCTACGATCTGCTAGGGGACAGTAAGATAGGGGGGTGCATGAGGGGAAAGGGCCTGGGGTGGGGATGGGGCTGCACAATAAAAGCAGTGGTATGGAAGAAATAATCATTTGAATCTTATGGTGTTCTACTTGTAGCCTTATTTTTGTTTCGTTCAATCAAAATAAGATGAAATATTGTCAAAATTCGGTTGAAATCTACTTGATGCATCTCCTTTTTTTCTGCCAACAATAGCAGTAATGGTGGAAGTACTTAGTTTTAAATAACTTGAATAATACTATGATTTATAACTGTTGGGGACTTGAAAGCATGCTTTCGATATGGAGATGTTAGGTTTATTGTTTAAAAAGTGATGCTGCACAGTAGTAGGAGATTTCCATTCTACCAGAGGTGGATCTTTGCTCCTGTTGAATTGAGGGGCAGTAGGTAGGGCTCTTCATTGGCATTCCATCAGCCTCATTAAGGAGAAGTTTCTCAAGGCAGTAATGTGGGCAATCCTGCAGAAACATTGTGTATCATGCTCTGCCCTTCTAGAGTGAAGATATGAGCAAAGCCAAAAATTATCCGGGTGTGGTGGTGCACACCTGTAATCCCAGTGGCTCGGGAGCTGAGACAGGGGATCATGAGTTCAAAGTTAGCCTCAGTAAAAGCGAGGCGCTAAACAACTCAGTAAGACCCTGTCTTTAAATAAAATACAAAATAGAGCTGGAGATGTGGCTCCTGAGTTCAATCCCCAATATTCCACCCCCCAAAAAATAATTAGGCGGATAGTCAATAGGGATGATGCTGATTTTAGTTTATACTCCCCCAAGGCACCTTCCCATAAAGAAATATTTATGAAGTAGTGCATCTGAATTTTTAATGTTTGAAAGTAATTTCTGAAGAATAAAGTCAGTGTGATTGGATGGAAAGGATAACACCAACATTGGAGACATAGCAATTCTGAGATATGAATTATGATGTGTCAGCTCTGTTGTATGATCATGCCTTCTATGTTATTTTCATACAAAATTTGTCATTAAATTTAAAGCTTACTTTGTCACAAGTGAAGTTAACACTTTCTGATGTACACAGCTGACTTGCAATTCTAACCTTGAATGCTTTCAGAAGATGAGATCCAACAACTTCCCTTAGTGAACTGTTCCGAATGTTTATACATTTTGAATAGTCAAATTAACCCAAATTTTTGATACTGAATCTTAAATTCATGATTATTTTGTGTTCAATAGAGATGAATTGGATACCTTTTCTTCATTTTCTGAGGTATTTTAAGAAAAGTTATCCCATTGGACCCTTTGTATTTTCTCTCTGAAAACAATGGTTGGGATGACCAGAAGGGGAAGAGTTGGTCCTCCCAGGACCCTGGCTGTGTTGGAACAGGGCATGGATGAAGATAGGCATGTGGAAAACAACTAAGCTTTTATTATCATGAGAACATCACATTCAACTTTGGTAGCTTTTTAAATGTTGTGTTGATTAAAACCATAAGTCTTTAGTTAATGCTACTGGAATAGTCGTTTTGTAAAAAAATGGAAAAAAATGATTCTTCAGAGAAGAGACAAAGCTACGTCTTGGATTAATTGATATCTGTGTACCTTTATCATTGAATCACTCAAGTGGTATCTTTTTTTTTTTTTTAAGAGAGAGTGAGAGAGAGAGAGAGAGAGAATTTTTTTTTAATATTTATTTTTTAGTTCTCGGCGGATACAACATCTTTGTTTGTATGTGGTGCTGAGGATCGAACCCGGGCCACACGCATGCCAGGCGAGCGCGCTACCACTTGAGCCACATCCCCAGCCTTCAAGTGGTATCTTAAGAATTACCATACCCATAGCTATATGTTTTTTCAAAAATGGAGCATTGACTGCTGTAGAATATTAAAGATGTTGTTTTGCCACTAAGAGTGTCTAATAGGGGTGATAATTGCTGGGTTCTAGAAGCCATTACACATTTATAGGAGACTTTGCTCTGGGTTCTAGAAGGCATTGCACATTAATAGGAGACTCTTTAAGTATTTTTTTGTGACATTTTAAATTTGTATAATTGACCTGTTCTAAGAAAAAACCCCAGATTAGCATTAGATAATGCTATTAGTGTCTGGTAAATACAGAAAAGTCAGTATTGTCTTTCAATATGCAGATCAGTTTAAATGTTTTACAAAAAGCATATGTAATATGTATTTTTTTTTGTTTGTTTCATGCAGTTGCTGTGATTGGCTGATAAATATTTGTCATCGAAAGAAAGAACTAAAAGCTCGCACAGTATGGCTTGGATGTCCTGAGAAGAGTGAAGAAAAGCATCCCAGGAATTCAATAAAAAATCAAAAATACAATGTCTTTACCTTTATACCTGGGGTAAGACACTCCTGCTTCGAGGGTCATAGGTCAGAGCTTGCTGGTTTCCAATGCCTTTCAGAGACCCTTCTGTGTTTCACTGTCAGGCCCAACGCAGCACCTCCTGGTCTTATACTGTTCAGTTTCAATGATTGCCAAATCATTCATTTGCATTTTTAATCAACAAGAAAATTTTCAACTTGATTATTAACTTCAGTTCTTGATAAACATCATTTATATAATTATAGAAACAATTGTAGTATAGAAATAATGAAAAAATGCTAAGTAAAATGATCAAAAAATAAGTTGTAAAGTTTTTTGGGGGTGGGAATTTGGAGGGAAAAGTTGAATATAGTTTCTAAGCTTGTCAAGAAATTTCAAAAAGAAAGTAAAACAATTTTGCTTTCACAAAAATGACACTGTAACAATATGTAAGTGTATATAGATGTCTTTGCTACTTTACATTATAAACCGTAGACCTACTGCTAAATCTTTAATTAGGTACTATGCTAAATTTAAATACTAAAATTTATTTTTCTGCTGCTTGGTTATTAGTAGTACTTCTAAATTAAATTTTAAAACCAAGTTTATGTGAGTTTAGAATAGTGGAATAAATTTTTTGACAGATTTATTTATCTTTCTGAAGGCAAAGACAACTGGTGTTGGTTTTGTTTTTCTTTTTTTTTTAATTACAGGATTTTATTTTCTTTTTAGTCCTTGATTCTTAGAAGTTAGACCAGCATGATTTATTGGGGAAAGTAGTTTGTCATCATATATCAGATTATATTTCTATATCAAAACTTTGGCATGTTCTAGCTAAGGGCTATTATTCTATTTATCAAGAAAAGCTCTTGATTACATCAATTGAAAGTTGCTTTTTCTTGTGTATTTGTATTTTAATGATCATTCTGATTTTGTATTGGACATTGATTATTCCCCTCCCTCAATCCCCATCCATTCATTTGTTGGCAAGAGTTTGATATCTAATGTGCTTTTTTATTAAAAAAACACAAAACTAATGGCCCCATAATTAGAAGACTGATCTTTTGTCAGGACAATAAAATGTAAACTGTCTTTGGGGCAAATATTTTCAACTTTATTGAATGAAGCACTGTTTTCTCCTTAGGTTTAAATTATTAAATAACACCGTTAGCTAAGCAGTGTGCATTTTCTTAACAGTCACCAGACTTATTCAGTGAATAATCAAGTATTGAGTACAGTGGTCTGAAACAAATAATGCAAGCTTCACTTTGGTCAGTGTAAATTCATACAACCTGCCTAGAGTGGCTGCATCTTGAGAACACCTGTTGATGTGTCTATACAGTCCTTAACTGTGTGGGTGATTTTTTTTCTTAAATTGTCTCTGAAATGATCTTTTCATCTAAAATGTAGTATTTTAGAAACATTTGGTAATTACACAGTAGGAATTCTATGCCATTTTTAGCATAAATGGCAATTTCTGAATTGCTAATAGATATAATTTATGCTGAGATTTTAAAGATATTGCTGAGGAAAAAGAGAGCTTTCCTTCCTGCTGAGATTAATTTATGAAATAGTTCAGAACATTTCTAGATAGTAGTTGAACATGATTATGAGTATAAGTGTGTTACTGGTGTAGCTGATGTTTCAGTCACACGTGTAAGTGTATGACGATGCAGTCATTTTATTTTATATTCTGTAATATAAGTTGCTTCCCAGGAGGTTCTGATTCATAGACGGCAAGTTGGCCAGTATGATTGTAATTGTGTGCCATTTGAATTGTTCCTATCTATAAATATCAGGTTTGTTCTATTTAATTTTTAATTCAAATCTAGTAACTTGAGGCATTTGTAAATAGAGCTCTCAATATACTGGATCTTGAGTTTTCTTCCTTATAGGTAATTCCATTTGAATTTTAAAAAAATATAAAAATTTTCACTTTTGGCTTTCCTAAAATTTTATTGAATGATGAAATTCATGTTTAAAAATAGTGTTAAAGACCAACTACCAAAAGACTATAAAAAATATACAAGTAGCTATATTCCTGAAAATTGGTCTGTTATTTACTATTCTGTGTTGATCATTTTACATGTTTTGAGAAAACACATGCAGGAGATCATCTCATGCAGTCACAGTTGTGCACATCTGGCTTCATAAAGCCCAGTTCATGTTGCAAAGCATGGGTGTTGTATTTTTTGTTTTTTATTTATTTATTTATTTATTTTTCCAGTTTGTAAACATGAGGTTAGTATGACTTTCGCATCTTTAGAGTTTCTGAGTTGGTATCCAGATATACATTTTTGTATTTACTGACTTGCTAGCATTGGGAAAGTTTTGGTGTCATTTGTTTGGACGTGCATGTAAAGATTATAGATTTTGGAAAACTAAAAATTTCATTAAAAAAATAAAGCCTCTTAGGGAAGGATACTTTTAATATAATTTAGAGTCCTAATTGTTGTTTCCCCTCAGTTTATCTCAAATGTTATGTGGGGTAACCTTTATATATGGGATAGCTTTAGAAAGCCAATTCCAAACAGAAATGTGGTTATATATTGTGCTATATTTAATTATATATTGGAGGTATTAAAATTTAGGGATTGTGTTAATTTTCTCTTTTCTTTTTCAGGTTTTGTATGAACAATTCAAGTTTTTCTTGAATCTCTATTTTCTGGTAGTGTCCTGCTCACAGTTTGTACCAGCATTGAAAATAGGCTACCTCTACACCTACTGGGCTCCTCTGGTAAAAGAAAAAAATTAAAAAATTATGCTCAATTATTAATTATTATCTAAAAATGATGTTTAGTATACAATTTTAAGAGTTCATATGGCTAAAAGATAAATTGACGATTGTTAAAATGTTGTTGTTGCTGTGTATCATTTAACACTTGTTAAAGGATTTCACAGAATTCTGTGATTTAATCCCCTTTAGCCCTATAGGAAGTGTAAGGTCAGAGCACTGCCTGCAGAGCAGCAGGAGTCTGTAGACCTCTGTAGCTGGGGAAGTTATGAGTGTCCTTTCTGGGGCTTTCTGCACCTGTTCAAAGGCTTGTAGGTCTGTCTGCCTGTTCCCTGCTCCTTCCTTTACTATGGAACTGTTGGGTGATACTGAGGTTGTAGGATCTGGAGAGTTAGTGTCTTGATGTGAAGCCAGTGGTGAAAGTTCTAAAGTATTGGACTCCAGTAAGACAATTTCTGGTTGACAGCTCAGTGTATGAAGTGTTCTGAAAGGTTGATGACTCTTGGCATTATTTCAAATATATTCTTTTATACTTCTCTTTCCTATTTTTTCCTTCTATTTTATCTTATGGTGCCAGGGTAAAAACCAGGGCTTCAGCATGGTAGGCAAGCACTCTACCACTGAACCACATGCCCAGCTCTAGCATATAGTTTTATGCTATTTGTTGATAGTAAAGACAATAGAAAATTGTTCTGCTTACTTTTTGGTTGCCCCTTTTTGGGCAGGAACAGCAGGGAAAGTGATTCCTTGGTGAAAGAGGAGCGCAGAGCTCAGTGTGGTCTTCAGAGTTGGAGAGGTGTGCTCGCTCCTGTGCTCCTCTGTGCTGTCTTGTGTAGTCTCTCCACTAGAGACTCTTCCCAGTGAATCAGGAGAGCTGCTGTCACAGGACAGGTCCAGTGTGTGCCATTAAATTGATGCTGAGACGTACTTTGTGACTCCCCATTCATATACCCTTAAGAATGGGGTGAATTTGAGGAATGAAAGTAACTTCATATGGAGTATAAATACAAAATCCCTGGATGAATGAGTATGTTTTTTACTTATTAAATTAGTGAGATTGAAAGAGACACAGGTGCTGAACATGGGTAAAAATGTAATACAGTGGCTCTCATCCATTGTCAGGGTCAATATGTCTGCACACCCATTGGATGAATGGTTGTTAATATATTTATCAAACACTTCGAGAATTGATTCAACATTTTTATTTGAGGAATTTATCCTATAGAAATGATTGATTACAAAGAGAATAATCCATTGTTATTTTTGATGAAAAAATTATGTAATAAGTCAAATAACTGAATTGATTGAACTGTGCTATATCCTACTCACATATTGGAATAAAGTGTAGCTTTAAAAATGTTTAGGAAAGGTATTTAATAACTTCAAAGGTAAGTATAGTAGGGTAAATTTTAAAAGGTAGGTTAATGTGTAGAATAAATGCACACTTCTTTTGAAGAGCCAGTAATATGCACCTTTGTGTCTAGCACTAGTCTAAGTAATGTGGTACAACAATGAACAAGACAGACAAAATCCCATCCTAACAGAATAAGCGTTCTGGGGGAGAAGACAGTCTACAAGCAGATTCATAATGCTGGATGGGTAGCTATGGCTTTGAAGAATAAAATAAAAAGCAGGACAAAGGTAGAGGAAGTGAGGCCCTCTTAGGAAGGAAGTCAAGGAACGCCTCTTGTGGGGGTAGCATGTGCAGAACAGGGGAGTGTTGCAGGAACAGTTTACTAATCTCACCATATTCTGGAGTGTGATCAGGTTCTCCTGCTGGGGAGTGGGGGTAGGGGAGGGTACCTGGAAAGGATTTCAGCAGGGTGAGGGGCTGTGTCCCTCAGACGTTCCCACAGAGGAGACACAGAAGTATATGCAACAGAGATTGAAAGTGGTGTTTTACTAGGAGACATGGAGAGGAGTGGAGATGAACATTTCTTCCTTGTTCTCACCCACCTTCTACCCCATTGGGGTGGCTTCTGTTATGAATGTAAGATTATAGTTGCTATGTACTGCTTAGTTAACTTTACTGCTTATGCATGTATCATTTCAAATAATGTGCAGTATTGTCTTCCATGCTTTATATAAAGTTGTCTTAATTTGTGTATTCTGTTGCACCGAATTTTATTTGGCTTCACATTGGTTCATGAAATTGGTCCTTGTTGACACATGAATATTTACTTCATCTTTTGTTTTTCTAAAGTATTCCATTGTATGAATATATCACAACTGAGGTGTCCAGTGTCCTGGGAAAGGAGACTTTTAGGTTGCTTCTAATTTTTTGCTATTACAGATGTTATTTAATTTATAATTTCATTACTCATGATTCTTTATGTGCATCTGCTAAAAATTATGCCACATACTTCCAAAAATCTCACTTTAAAAGTTTTTGTTGATCTTCAGTGTTTTCTAATGAAAGAAATATAGCATCACAGAAATTTTAGAACAGAGAAAATACTTGGTAACAGTAAAAACAACTATATTTATGATTTTAATATGTTTCTATTTTTAGCCCCTTTTTTCTGTTCATAGCTTTACATGTTGTGTTTAACATATAAATATTATTGACATCTTGAATTGAATCTTTTATTAACTAACATAGTGATAAACTGAGAACACAATTCTTCTTAAAATCAACACAAAAAATATGTATTTTGTTTTTGCCTTTTGTCCTTACTATTAATTTTTAATTTTATTTTTTTAAAATGGTACTAGGGATTGAACTCAGGGGTGCTTTACCCTGAGTTACATTCCCAGCCCCTTTTATTTTTTATGTTGAGACAGGGTCTCACAAAGTTGCTAAGGGTGTGCTTGAACTTTGGATCCTCCTGCCTGTGCCTCCTGAATCACTGTAATCACAGGCATGCACCACTGAGCCTGGCTATAATTACTTTTTAAACCAAAGAAAATTTCCTTTAGGTAGATTATTTATGAAGAATTTTATTTGATTTGTTCATAAAAATGATTATCTTCGCCTTGCCTAGAGTGGAATTTGTTAATGTGTGCATGTGCATGCATGTACTTGTGCATGTGGTTATGTGAGTATGTGCACACTATACTGTTCACAAAGACCATTTTTTAGTACTTTATCTATTTTCATGTGAGCATTCATTTCCAGTTCTAGTTTCAGTTTTAAGTCCTGTAGCTTGAATTTTCAGCCACAGGTCTTTTTAAAATTTTTTTATTTTTTTCTACTTTGTCATATTTTTTTGACATGTAGGAATTAACTTTGTGTTTAGATGAGTACCTCAGTTAAGAAATTACTTCAGTATATTCATACAAGGGATATTGTTTTGTTAAAAAGAGAAGTGAAAAGCCTCCTTGCTTTTTTTCCATTTGCACCAGTGCTTATTGTGATAAACTTTGGTGACTGCTCCTGAATCCTGAGTGTTCCTCATGTGAATCTCAGAATTGGTCTGTTTGTAAGAGACATGATCATTTTCTTGGTCCGGCAGCAGCTGCGGTTGATGCCCTCTTTAGATGACAAGTGGTAATTCTTGTTAGCGTGGAGGCTTATGCTGTCTCTATGCACTTTTAACCTTTGGTTTAGCAAAAATCTTAAAATGTTGATGAGCACATTAGGCTCACCTTCAAATCCCAAGAAGCAGCTTTTGGGTATGTTGGTTCTTTGATTCAGGCTCACCTTGGAAGTATTTTTTAAAACTTTGAAAGTCCACATTTAGTATAGAGGATCTTCTTATTAATCTAGGCAAACATAAAGAACTTTTAAATGTGTGCTTATTTAAAGGAAATTAAAGAATACAAATTCTTTTTTAAAAATATTTTTTTAGTTGTAGATGGACAAAATACCTGTATTTTGCTTATTTCATGTTTTTTTATATGGTGCTGGGGATCAAACCCAGTGCTAGGCAAGCACTCTACCACTGAGCCACAACCCCAGTCTCTGAAGAATGCAAATTCTAAAACCCATTTGGTATCTTCCTTTTTTTATCAAAGGAAATGTTCTTTAACAGGGATTTTTTTCAAAAGTTCTTGCTCTTTTTTTTTTTAAGTTTCTTTTCTTCTAGTTGCAGATGGACAGAATCCCTTTGTTAAGTTTTTTATGTAGTGCTGGGGATTGAACCCAGTCCCTCTCACATGCTAGGCAAGTGCTCTGCCACCAAGCCCCAGCCCCAGCCCTAGCCCGAGTTCTTGCTCTTTTTATACCAGTTTATTTTTACCCTGTATGTTCAGGGCCCATTATAGCATGCTGTCTTATGCAGACATTTATGTTTTTGACATCTTTTCTTTGCTTGCTCTCTATAAGGTTGTTAAGAGAAAGGTATTAGTTAATTTTTCCAGATTTCTCTTAGCCAAAAACCTGTCAACAAAGCCCATAATCATCTTATAGCTGGTGCTTATAAAATCTCATCTGTTGTTCTTTTGATGCTTATAAAGTCTCATGTCTGTTGTCCACTCATTTTTAAAGTGTTTTACTTCAAATTTATTCCCTTTGTTCTCTAAAATTGGGATGTTTTTGAAAACAGCAATAGCTTTATTAATTATCTTTCTTTTAAAATTATCCTTGGCAATGTTATTTATTAGCTTTAACTCTGAACTAATTTCTGTTATATTTCCTATATATACTGAAAACAACGTGACTTTATTAACTCCATTCTCATGCCACAATGGAGATTGCCTGCCTACCATCTCTCCCCACCCCCCTAACTCCTTCTCCCTCCCTCTGCTTTCAGAATTGTTCTTTGACGCAAAGCTAGTATAATCAGATACAAAACAGATTATGATGCTTCAGTCAAATCAATAAGGTAGAACAGGTCTATCCATACAGAAGATTTTCAGATAAAGAAGATTCTGGCTCTGTGAATTTTTAACTTGTGGGCTAAATATCTTCCTTGTAATTTGGTACTACATAATTGTCAAGCAGAGATCGTATGGGTAAGAAATCAATTGATTGAGTCTCTGATTTTCAGTCTTATGTTAAAATCCTTCTGTCCACCCTTTTTTGTGAGTACTGCATTGGAGGTGGGCAAAGTATTGGAAAA